ATATTAATTTACTAATATATATATATACATATATATATATATATATATATATATTTGAAATTTACAAAAAATTTATATTCTAAATTTAACATACTTTTAAAATATTTATATACTGTTCAATAGATTCATTTTGCTTTTTTGATCTTGTAAAAAACTGATATCGTTCAACCACCTCTTTTTTTGGTGGATTGAAATATTTATCAAGTTTTTCAATCAATATGTCCATATTGTCTTTATCTTGCACACTGTCAAAAGATATATTTTGTATTGCTTGAAGACCAACTTTTCCAATGCGATTTTTTAGAAGATTTGCACGGATTTCATCAGGTTTATCGATATATCCGGTTACTTTCATAAATATGATAAAATCATCTTTCCAACTTTGCCAATTGTTGGCCATATCACCATCTTTTGATAAAGGATCTGGAGCACGTGCATGTGTTTCCATGATAAATATGAAGCTTACTAAAAAAAAAAAGAAAGATGTAAGATCAATTTGTCTTACAAAATCTTATTCTTTTCGATTTTAATTTAGTTTTGGATTTGTGCCAGATTAAAAACAAGATAATCTTTACAAGAATCTGCCATTTTCATATAAAAAGTAAATAGAATGTTTAAATAAGCGACAGAAGAAAGAAATTATTTATATCAGTAAAAAAGAAAACAAAACAATATTTATTTAATTATATTTAAAAAAAATATTAAAAAATTAAATTTGCTATGTTATCGAGTAAAAAAAAGCATTTTTTTCATTTTATATAAAAAAAGTGTAAATAAATGACTTCTTCCATTAATAATCATAAAAATAATGTTGATCACATCAATGATAATCAATGATTCTATTGTTGCATTTATATTTTTGCACATATCTTTGCGATTATCTTAGACATTTAAATGCAAAATATCGTATATAAATTTATGGATAAAACAAGTTAATAACCATATCGTTAATTTTTCAGCATTAAAGGATAAAAGTTCTATAATATATAAAATTAAAATTAATTTTTATTTAGTTTTATTAATCTAAAAATATAATTTAAAACGATGAAAGTTATCGACGAACATATGGCTTAATGTTATCTTTTCTGAAATTTTTTCATTAAAATAAGAATTTGAAAAAAATAAACACATTATAAATAAAATATATATAATAATGCATACAAGAAAAGTATATATTTATTATTATTATATATATTGTATGTGATGTGTTTTTATGGTGTACGCACGTAGCGCGTAGTACGTTGCATACAATTGATATACACACAGATATAAAATGTTAATGTAAAATATTGAAAATAATAACATAAATAAAAATCAACTTTAATATACATACATAATTTCTCAGAGTCATTCATACACTACATTCAATTGTAGATATATTTGTGATTTATGAGTCATAATGATTAGCTGTAAAATTCCTTCATAAAATTCCCATATGGATTATATTTTAATATGCTTACCTGCTCGGTGAAAATGTCCTTTGAAAAGAAAGAAATCTATCCTTTTGATGCAGTATATTTAAATTCTGTGACTTAAATATATGCTTAGTATAAAATTTGGGTGTGGACAATAGACTCGTTTACAGTACCCGACTGCCACGAACGATAGTACGGAACGTAATCGCCGATGTTATGCTGTGTACGTATCACTCCGTGGGTATTCCCCTCTTCTCTTTTTCTTCTCTTTTTTTTTTTGCAATAGACTTTGTGAGGATGTAACATGGCCAATAAGGATCAGAGGAGGGTATTCCCCTCCTTATACATATGTAGTCGAACATTGGCTGCTTTAACAGAGAAAGCAGCTTGCAATGTTGTAAAAATCTTTGATATGATTGGTTTTTGTCCTTAGTTTCTCGTAGATCTAAATGTACAAACCAATCATATTGAAGATCTTACAATAGTGTAAAGCTACTTTTTCTGTAAACGCAGCCGTTAAGTACGTTCAACGAAACAAAGCAATCAGTAAGCGATCAGTTATTGGTTTTTACTGTTAGATTTTTAAATTTAGACCAATTATATTGACGAATTATTCAATTTGTTTAACTGTTGTTTTCTGAATGTGATTAAAGCAGCTTTGCAATTGTTATAAGAAATCTTAGATTTATTTTTTGCTGCACTTGGATGCATTAAAACTTTTTATCTCGTTTTTATCAAACTTTAAATATGTATATTTATTTCATTTTAAATCCAAATGTCCACGCTAATTCAGCTACAGAAAGTAGATCACTTGATATGATTGGTTTTTGTCCTTAGTTCTATAGGCTCTAAATATACGAATCAATAACACTAAAGAATCTTACAACAATTGCAAAACTTTTTTTTCTGCTGAATGCTGAACGCTGAACGTTATAGAATGTATCTAGAAACACAATTGCTCATTGAGTTCTTAAGGCCATTACATGTGAAAAAAATTTTAGTCGTAATTGTAAAGCCATAAATAAATTGATAATTGATCAATCAGAATTTGCCTATTCTCCTTACAGTCCAAAAATAATCGACTGTGACTTGTCAATTTGCTTACGTTTTATGATTACGACTAAAATTTTTTACGTGCAATGTCCCTTAGTGAGTGCTTGTATCCGATTGGTATATTCTTTTATATACCAATTGTTCAGTTTAGCCCCATCAACTCCAAGTTTGATGAAATTATGCTCATTTTATGCGTTTTTATACGAAACGAAAAAATCTGGTAGAAAAAAGCGTCACTTTGCTTTGTGAATATAGAAATAAATACTTATAGATCTTGTAGAACTGGATACGCCTTCTAACTAAAATCAAGGTTTGAGTTAATAAACTGAGAGCATTATCTTATGTCCTTCTATTTCTATTGATAGAACGAAAGAGAGAGAGAGAAATCTTATCGATGTTCTTTATCGTGTACTTTCGGAAACTAAAGAATAGAAGATACGACATATCTACTCTTTCTTTTCATCTAAAGAAAGCGTACCAATACTATGAGACCTATGTAAATGCCCTGCTTGTACAGTATGTATGTACATATGATCGTTTATATCCCATCTATGAGTTACATTTGTATATGTTTCTGTCGTTAATTTAATTGGAGGCATCTAATAACATGGTCTGCGCAATTGAATCTGCATTCATGCGAATTCACATTCCATTTACCCGTACTATTTATACTGGATGCAGTCCACTTGATGCTACAAATGTTTCGAAGCATTTTTGATTGGTCAATTCATAGAATTCTTTGTTTTGATTGATTAATCAAACACTTCAAAGTTTTTGTAACGCAAAGTGGACCATAGCCACTATGATTATATATATAATAAGTCTGTGGAGTCTCATGGAGCATAAGCTAAAGGGCGTGGCATATTCACAACGGCAGATTGGGAGTGAGGGAATGCCCGATTACCCACGTTGTCGATTGGCCAATTTAAAATAAAATTTTCGATTGGTTGATCCAGTGAAAATTTCCAGGCATTGGTCGCTGTAAGTGGCTATGTCCAATTGTAACGTGATCAAACGGGACGTTCCCTTCCGAAGATTGCACACATAGAACCATGTTTATATATACGTGTTGTATGAGTAGACTTTTTTTTGTATTACTAATTTTTTGTATTATCAATACAGTGTAAATAGTATAATAGTTGCAAATACATATCTAAGATCACCGACAAGATACTATTAAAGATCGACAATCTTACGGGAGTTAGCGTGACCGCTTTTGGAACCCGGGAATAATTGAAAAACGTTGATATTATCGACCGTTTTGACTGTACTGAGGAAAACGTTTATTTATTACTGTCATTATGATGGATTTAATTTTACAAATTAAATTAATAGTTCTTTTTCCTTTTATAGTAATAATAGTCACGGTAACAATAATAAATGAACGTTATTCTATCTTTGTTATCCTCAGTACAGTCAAAATAATATCAATGATAATATCAACGTTTTTTAATTATCCCCGGACCCCCGGGGCTCTGTTAGTGAACACGAAAATTTGCCCACAATTGTCGGTCTTTAATAGTATCTCGTCAGTGGTGAGATGAATAAGATGAATATAACGAAAAATTGTTCTCGCATTCCAGAGTTTTTATCTTCCTTGCCTAAACTAGGGATTTTATATTCCATTTATTCCTAATATGTCCGTGGAATTATTATAGGAAAACTAACTTTGATATCATTTTTTAATTTCTTGTCTTTCTCTCTCTCTCTCTCTCTCTCTCTCTTACGTTGTCTATTTCTCTTTATCGCGCATGTTTCGCATTTCTTGAAAACAAGCCAAGGTATCTATGGTAAGTTTCGTGAGTGTTCGTGAGTATTCGTGAGCATTCGGCGAAGGCTAGGCAAGGCTAAGCGAGTTTAGCGATGCGATGAGTAGCAAGTGGTAACGAGGAAACGCGTGACAGCGAGCTGACGACTCCAGGCGATACTAATACCAGGCGACACGATCGGTGCTGATCGGAACTCGAAACGATCGTGGAGCTGTATATACGAGGAGCTGCGAGGAGCGAGGAGGAGCAACGCGGTTGGATGCGGCATAGCTCCGTGCTTCGTGGTCGTATTTGCTGTGTGTTCGCTTCGTGGCTTATTCGCTCGTGGCTTATTCGCATGGTTCTGGAGCAACGCGAGCACAACGTGATCGGTGGTTCGTCGACGTGATGACGTCAGATCTCGAAGCATAGGCCAAGAACGCGTTTCAAGCCGAGTAGGGCGTGAAATCGTGCGTTCTCTCGCGTGCATCGAATGGAAATACATGTAAATAACAACGGGCGCGCGTAACTCTTTTATCCATTAATGTGGATAATAATGTTCGGTGCTGTTTTAACGTGATCGACAGTGAATAGTACCAATAGTGTACCATGTTCCGCTGCATTCCAATTTTTAAAGGGTGTAACAGGCAGGTAGAATACGTCGACAAGCGTCATTGCTCTCTGCCGTGCGTCCCCGATGATATCTTGCGATACTCGAGGAGTTTGGAGGAGCTTCTACTAGATGCGAATCATATTCGTGATCTGCCAAAAGTAAGCGTGTGCCTATCAATTTTACTCCTTTCTCTTTGTTTTAACTCTAATTTTTCTATCAATATACACATATACGCATTGTACACACCCGTATTCCCTGTCACACGCACACGCGTGCGCACGCGCACACGCACACATGCATGACGTGCGTATACATATGCCACACATACACGTACACGTACACTATTGTATTCATAACGTCCCAAACTTGTTGCCTATAAGGATTATTAGATGATGTAATCTAGAAGAGAAAAGCCGATATCGAGAATCTCTGTAAGCCAATATCATTTCTGTTCATGTTTCAGAATTTCTTCCGACTTCAGAGATTACGAAAGCTTGGCTTGAGCGACAATGAGATACATCGTTTGCCACCGGACATTCAAAATTTCGAAAACCTCGTGGAGTTGGATGTGTCCAGGAACGGTGAGAAGTATATATTTGTGTATATAAGTGTATAGTTTTAAACCATTGCAAGGAAATTTTTGAGGGTATATTTTATACGTGGGAGATAACTATGTAACGGGGCGTCTAGGAATTCAAGCAATTAATCGAGTAATTAATCTCATTAGAAGCGCCTCGTTAAGTGTGTCTCATGTGTGATATATCACGGTTGATGGTTGATGGTTCTCATCATTAGTATATTAGTAAATTTTGTTTGATATTTTCGAGAGTTTGCCAATTGACCGATGACTATCCTAAAGAAGGCAAGCCCGTAAAGAGGGAGACATATATAAAAGAGCAATTTATAGTGGTAAAGATCGAGCGAAGCGTGTAGCGCGTCAAAGTCCTGCCGACTTTATTTGCTAAGGCAGTTTTAGAAATTATGTTGTGTACTAGTACTAGTACTTTTAATATTCGACGCGGCAACCGTCGGTTGAACGATAATGAAATCCGCATAACGGTGTATCTTGTTTCGCTTCCTCTCTTCACCACAGTGCGTCAGCCGCTACATCGCGTCGCGCTACCACGACGCCACACGCCACACGCTACACGCCACGCGCCACGCGCCACCCGCCACATTGTGTCGCGGCGCCGAGCTAAGCCGAGTGAAACCGGCGGAGCGGAGCACCGAGTCGCCCCGCCTGTCACTGGCGCTCCTGTCATGAATATTTCTGCCTCGAATGTATTTTTCTTATTTATTTTTCTTTCCTCCTTTTATTTGTCGCGCAAAGTGTTCTCTAGTGTTCTCCCTTGCCAAAAACGTTTTCTCTTTCTTCTATCTTTGATTTGTTTCAAGTTTGACAACAATCTTTTTGATCTATTAAAAATGCTCTGTATTTGAAACTCGGCGAGTTGATATTTTTGGGTCTCGCCAAGTAGAAATGTCACTTGTTTACACGCACATGCGCGCGCGGCCGCGCGCACGCGCGCCCATATGTGTGACGCATGCACTATAGAAGAATTTTTACATCAGGATCGGAAAAGAGAGGGGAGAGTATGACATTCCGATTGCGATAAGAGAAAAAGGATTTTGGTGATTTTTAAATATTATACTAGTGATGTGTCTTGCGAACGCGATAAATAAATTTTTGATGATGCAGCGACATTTGTCATGCGTGATATTAAAATTTAATTTAATTGTTGCTATGTTGGAACACGATATACAGCGTCTTCCAATTTTCCAATCATCATCGATATCGACATCGTGATATGCATACTATATATCTAACAATGTCCAAGAGAGGCAAACTTTTAAATATGGCTCATTCATAACAAATATATTAAGCTTTTATCGGATAGCTTGCATCGAAGATCGAGAGATTAATAATTAAAGATTAAAATTCGATTAAACGAAAAAATTTAACTTTACTCCAATTTTTACCCCGATTAACAGAATTTTAATCTCCAATTCACAATCTTTAATTTCCAACGTACGGGAGCTTTACGGATATCCTTCAGTGGGTTCTAAAGGAAAAGATTTTTTTATTAGATTAATGCTGTCGATGATTGGTTGACTGAGAAGGCACAACAGTTTATCGACAGTTCAGCAACATGGTCGACCATCCGGTTGCATTTTACATTGCTCGAGAATATCCCGTGTGTAATATCAAATAATATTTGTACTTTTATTTTTTAAAAATGACGTAACCCGTACATACATATAACATATGCAATATTACAAGAGAAATACTAGGCAGAAAGTTTTTACGCAAGTCTTCTAATAATAAAAAAAAAAAGATAAAAAGTCAAGATTCTAAATTTTCAAATAACGCATATAAAGAAATCTAGTCGGAATTCAAATGTGAAAGAAAGAAAATTATATAATTAATGTTCTTGTCCATCCAATCAATTTGTATCATATCAATGTTTTCTCATGACAACTTCGTTGAGAAAATAGAATAGAAATGGAATAGAAAGTGGAATGTATATATGTGTATATATATATATATATATATATATATATATACATGAAAAGAATATGAAAAAATGGTTACAATTACCGCGTTACAAGTATCGCGCGCGATCGTTGCACGCTTCCTGCACAATATTTTAGCATGCACGATCGCATCAACCCGTGTCACGCGAAGCAACACTATCGACGTAAGTGTAGGGATTTACGATTAATTATACATTGAGAAATATGTTACGTATTTGATTCCGTTTACAACGTCCGCGTATGTACATAACACACATTCATTTGCACTGAATCATCCGAAGTTACCTCGCGTGATCGCGTACGCTGGTAAAATGAGTACGCGCGCGGTGTAACACAAACGCGGGACAAAATTCTTCCCCTCGAATATGTAAAAGATGAAAGTGTTGCGCAATCGCAACAGGTTTCCGATCGAGAAGATTAGATGCTCGATTGAGATGATGGCTGCTTTGTTACGCTACTATATCTATATTTAAAGATTTCTTCTCGCGAGCCGAGCCGCGATAGAATTTGCTTTGAAAGATATATATCGCTTTGAAATTCATGTCTCACGCACATTTATTGGCTTCTTTTATGTTCTTCTTACGACTGAACGGACATTACTCGCCGATTGTTCTCGGGAATAGAATCGGAGAGATCGAACGGAACTCGTAAATATACTTCAACAGTCGCGAATCGGAATGGAAATTGAACGGCGATATTTCTTCGGCGATATCTGTTCTCTCGTTGTCTCCTCGTTCGTTTTCTCCTTCTTCATCCTTTTTATGTAGGTTTTCTCGTCTCGGCTCGGTTTGCAAATAGGCGCAATAGAGTAACGATCTCTCGCCATTTCCTCTGAGGTAAATTACAAAGGCCTCCCCGAGGGTGGACGTTTCGTGCTATTTATAATGTTTATTGCGGTTGCATCAAAAGGGGCTGCTGACTAGCCGTGATGCAGTGGCATCTGAAAATTGATAACATCGCTTGTATGGGAAAAAAGGGCGTAATATGTACTAGGCTGCCTCTCTGGACCGTTGCATGTCCGTCCATCCATAAATTCTTCGTCTATAGAATCGATCCTTCTCTTTTATAGGGTAAACTCATTGCGGGTCAACACTCGGCTCGACAATTTTTTTTCCGATTTTAATGTTAGATCTATTTCGATAATAAAGTTTCAGAGAAGAAGTATGTTCCCTGATAATAAAAACCTCCATCCATTTCCATCCATTTTCTCGACTATCCTTTTTATCCTAATTAGATGTGTCTTAATAATTAATTTTTATTTAGCGAATAAGGTTTCATCTCCTTCGGCATTGCGCGTCAAACTTTTTTTTCTTCCAAAATTATTTAATAATATAAAAATTTGTGATAATAGCCTAAATATTATTTTCATAGGCTTAATTAACGAAATGTTCTTGCTATTTTCAAATTTTTGTCGAAACACAGTTTCACACAGTTGCACAAATTAAAATAAGTTGAAGCGTGAAAAAGTCAACAAAGTGAAACAAGTTGTCGCAGTATGTTTTTTTGTTTGTAGCGGAATCACGCTTTGTTGTAATTTCCTCTCGTTAGTACCGTGGCACGTTTGACTCCAAATCACTCTGCTCGGACGTGAAGCGAAACACGCGGAGGAAACGAACTGAATAGATTCTTAGTTTTTTTTCCAACAAAATATGATTAAAATTGGAAAACAACTATACAGTTTCAGTAGTCTCTTTTAGTTTTGAAACGAGTAATCAAAACATGCGTTGTATTGTTATTTTTAAATTATCTTGTTCAACTATCACATGCGATATTATGTATGAGAAAGAGACATAAATCTATTGATGCCGAGACATTTTTATTTTATCTTTTACAGATATACCGGACATTCCTGAAAATATCAAGAATTTACAGGCGTTACAGGTGGCAGATTTTAGCAGTAATCCTATTCCAAGGTTATTAAATTATTCTTATTTTTCTTCTAATTTTGTCTTCTAACTCGAGTAACACTCTATACTGTGTATATTAGTATAGCATCATCTTCTTGGTAACGCTTATTGTTCAAATGTAGATGCTTAATTCAAAATGATATTTAAAGCATAAATTTTCATTTCATTGCTTTTTCTTTCAGGCTTCCAGCAGGATTTGTGCAGCTAAGAAATTTAACTGTACTTGGACTTAACGATATGTCTCTTACAAACTTGCCACATGATTTTGGAAGGTAATATCGAAGTATATCTCAAAGCTACATTATTTAGATATTATTATGTAATCTTATTCTTCGTTTCATAAATTATTATAAATATGTATTTCTCTTATAGCTTGGAAGCATTACAGTCATTGGAATTAAGAGAAAATTTGCTCAAATCCTTGCCTGAATCGCTTTCCCAGCTTTTAAAGCTTGAACGGCTAGATCTCGGTGACAATGAGATCGAAGAATTGGTAAGTGTTATTTGATTTTTTTTATTCTTAATTTTTACTCGAAATCAATAGTGAATGGAAACGACCATATCTTTACAAAGATAATAATCTGTGTGCGCGCGTGTAAATTTTTATTTTTACTATCCTACTAATGACTTCTTAGTATAGGTATCTTATGGATAAAAATATTCTCGGCAATTTATCTGATCACATATTGTTATAATTATAGATTTTACTTTGAGACTGATAACAGTTTTAATAGTTTTTATTATTGTATTTTTTTTATTGTTGTGTTTTAATAGTTTTTTATCATTGTATTTTTATTGTTTATATTTAATTGCTTTTTCGTTGATTTACGATGACATTTACGATGGTTTTATGTCAAGTCAT